TTTTTTTTTTTTTTTTTTTTTTAAATCGGTGTTTCACCGAATAGCACTGGCTGTCTTGGAACTTATTCTGTAAACCAGGCTACTAGGTGTTTTCCACAAACACAGTAAGCCAGATCTAGCGGAATTGAAGAAGTATAACAACAGGTATATTGAGCCAAGCAATCCAGGACAGGTTCACTGGACTCCAAGAACAGGCCAGAGAAGTCTGGAACCCGAACTAAGGCAGGAGATTTTATAGATTGTGGGCGAGGAGTGATGATCCACAAGCTGGGTTTGTGCCCAAGCATGGTCAAAAGCATGGGCATTGGGGGTGTGGGGTGGGGATGACTTGGGCGGCTGGAGGCATCAGGGGAGGAAGTGACTGTAGTCTCCAGGAGTGCAGAACTGGGCTTCTTGGTGCCTTTCCTTTGTTCAGAGACTCTGAGCAGGCAGGGTTTGGAGAGACAGGAGTGGGGCTTTCCAGACCGTGCAGGTGAGCCGGAGGCTGGCCTTGAACTCAGAGATCCACCTGCCTTTGCCTGCCCCTCCCCCTCAAGTTCAGGGATTAAAGGTGTATGCCACCACCATCCAGCTTACTTTTCTTTTCTTAAATTTTCATTTATTAATATTGTCTCTGTGTGTGTGATGTGCATGTGTGAGTGCAGGTGTGTGCTCATTCATGGGAAAGTCTGAGGCTAGCTTTCTAGTGTTGGTTCTGTCTCTCTACTGTGGGTTCCAGAGATTGAACTCAGCCATTCTGCCAGTCCTCAAGGTTCTTTTTAAAAAATATTTTTTCCTTTCAGAAACTGCTGTATTGATTTTTTTTATTCAACCTGAAACCAACAGCAATACAAAAAGAATTGGCAGCAAATTCCACTCAGCTGCCTGTCCTTAGCCACCCATTCCTCCACACCCCTGTGACAGCAGTCTCCATAGAGTCCAAGGTGACATACTGGAGACCTTAAAGACGTGGCTGCAGAAATGACAGTGTGCAGTGTGGCATTTTACTACAGAAGGAACCCCTTACCTTTGTGAGTCCCTGGAAAGCTGGGTCTGGATGAAATCTCCATTCTGCCCATGATCATGGGCAGAGCAGGTCTGGTGATAAAGCAGAAGACGTAGCTTTCCTTCCACTCTCCTGCGTGCACGTGTGTGTGTGTGTGTGTGTGTGTGTGTGTGTGTGTGTGTGTGTGTGTGGTTTCTCCGTCAGCATCTTACTGATAAGGATTCAGGAACTACAGCAGGGATGGGCACTTTCTCTAAGTAAAGGATGTTTTATAAATTCTTCCCCTCCTTTTTTGTTTGTTTGTTTGTTTTTATATGTTTTTAGGGGCTTTTTTTTTTTTTTTGCTTGCTTGCTTTTATTTTGAGACAAGGTCTCATGTAACCCAGGCTGGCCTGGACCCCGCTGTGTAGCTAAGGACAACCTTAAACTTACTTGTGCCCAAGTGCTGGTGTTATAGGTGTGCACAACATCCTCTTCCTTCTCTATTTCTTTCTTTTTTAACAGGGTCCCCTCTTCGGTGCTTGAATTATAGGTATCAGCCGCCACACCTACATTTTCCTCCTTTCTCAAAACAAAAGTATAAACAAACAAAAACTAGCTAGGCTTTGATTACACACATTTAATCCCAGCACTAGGAAGACAGAAGCAGGCAGATCCCTGAGTTTGAGGTTGGCCTGGTCTACACAGTGAGTTCCAGGGCAGCTAGGACTACACAGAGACCCTGTCTCAAAAAAGAGGGGGATGTTACTGTCTGATTTTAAATAATAAGTGAGCGCAATAAGCTTAGATACAACAAATAGTTTTTCAGATCTTTTATTTCCTTTTTTTTTTTCCCCCCTGAGACAGGGTTTCTCTGTGTAGCTTTGCGCCTTTTCTGAGACTCACTTGGTAGTCTAGGCTGGCCTCGAACTCACAGAAATCCACCTGTCTCTGCCTCCCGAGTGCTGGGATTAAAGGCGTGCGCCACCACCGCCAGGCCTCCTTTTTTTTTTAATGCACAAATCCCATAGGAAGGAAGGCAGACAAGACCGAGGTTGTGTACACTCCTGTGACCTGACACTGCAGTCAGAAGCAGAATGATTGTGAGTGTGAGCTGACCTGAGCTGCATAGTGAGTTCTAGGCCAGCCTGGGCTACAGAGTGAAATACCCGTCTCAAGAAACCAAAAAAGAGCTGGTGAGACGGCCACCTCCTTCTACATTATTTATTTGGCTGTAGGGTGCTTGGGTTTGGGTAAAGGCCATCGCAGCCAAGCCTGGTGATTGAACCAGACACCCAAATCCACTGGGCAGAAGTAGAAAACTGACTTTACAAAGTTTTCCTCCAACTTCATGTCATGGAACATATCTTCCACACACAAAACAAATCAGAGTTTCGTTTTTAAATTAAAGGCCATCTAGATGGCTCAGAGAGAGGGTAGGTGCTTGCCACCAAGCCTGACAACTGAGTTTGGTTCCTAGAACTTATACTGGGAAGAGAACTAACTCTTTTAACTTGTCCTCTGATCTTCACCCTCAAAAACACCAATAAAAATAAAATAGCAGGATTAAATTAAAGCACATATCCACATTCCTTTAGTGCTAAGGTTCTGTTTTGCCTGTTCGACCTGCTAATTATGACTTGATTTTTTTAAGACTTATTTATTATATTTAATGTGTATGAGTGCTCTATCAGCATTTATGACTTTATGCCAGAAGAGGGCATCAGATCCCAATTTAGATGGTTTTGAGCCACCATGTGGTTGCTGGGAATTGAACTCAGGACCTCTGGAAGAACAGTTAGTGCTCTAAAGTGCTGAGCCATTTCTCCACCCCCCCCCCTTTTTTTTTAAAGACGAGGTCTCACTATGTATCCCTAGCAAGCCTGGAACTCATTAAGTAGACTAGGGTAGCCTTGAACTCAGAGATCTGCCTGCCTCTGCTTACCAAGTCCTGGAATTAAGGGTATATGACACCATACCCATCCTGGTTTTTATTTAGGAAATGTCTAGAAACCTTTCCTTATAGTTAGTTGTAGTAGGCTCTGTTTACGTTGCATTATTTCACTGAGTAGGTTATAAGAAATGAAAGGAATTGGGTGTTTTTTTTTGTAATACTGATATCTACCATTGATAGAGAGTTAACATCTGTGTTATAAGCTGTGATTGTGCAAAAACACTTAAAAACCGCACGTTGGCTCACGGTGCTGAACTGCATTGTTTTTTCAGGATGACTTTTCTCCTACCAGTAAGCTCCAGCGCCTGCTGGCCGAGTCTCGGCAGATGGTCACGGATCTGGAGCTGAGCACACTGCTGCCCATCAGCTGTGAGAATCTCAACAGAAGTGTGCGTTCCCCTTTCTTTCTCTTAAAAAAAAAAATTGTGTGTGCATGTCTGTGTGTGTGTGCGTGTGTGTGCATATGTGTGTTGGGGGGTATGTAGGCCAGAAGACAACCTCAGTGTTGTTGCTCGGGAGCTGTCTGCCTCGTTATTTGAGACAAGGTCTCTCCCTGGGACCTTGAGCTTGATGACTAGGCTAGTCTGGCTGGCCAGCAGGTCCCAGGGGATCACTTTCTCCAGCTCCCCAGCACTGGGGTTACAAGAGCATGTATCACACCTGGCTTTTTATGTGGATGTTGGGGGTCAAACTCAGGTCCTCCTGCTTGCATGGCTACACTTACTGTCTGTTGTATGTCCCCAGCCTGGATTCCATTTTTTTGAGATGTACATTGATAGAGTCCGAATATGCCTCTAAGTGGTAGGGCTCAGGGAGTACTGGGAGGTGGCCGTTCTGATAAAATGAAGGCTTCAAGAAGAAAGGAAGGCAGGCCCTGTGCTGAGGAGAAAAAGCCATACTGTGGGCTAGAGAGTAAGACAAAACCAAAAACTGTCACTGTGTCAAAACTGCCCCTGCTTCTTTCTGATTAGTGGAACATCGGAATGCATGCATTTAGTGTTTGTCATTTTGTGCTGCTGCCTAGGGCCGTACATAGCACCTTACCCCTCACCTAGGTTCTTGGGGTTGTTTTAAAATACACAGAGTTTCACAGGGTCTCCCTGTGTGGCACTGGCTGTCCTGGAACTACATAGACCAGGCTGGCCTCAAACTCACAAAGATCTATCTGCCTCTGCCTCCTGAGTGCTGGGATTAAAACTGCACACTACCATGTCTGGCTCCAAAATTTCAAATTTAAAGTGTACACAGGATTTTAAGAACACAGAAGGGCTACACATTTTTAAATACTAAAAAAAAAAAAAAAAAGAACACAGAAAAGGAGAAAAAAATAATATAATTGCACATCTGCCATTTACAATTTTATGTTCCTCCTCTGTATGCTTTAAAATGTACATTTCTTTACTTTTGTGTGTGTGTTTGAGACAGGGTCTTATCCTTAACCCTGGCTAGCCTGGAATTAATATGTAGACCATGCTAGCCTCTCACCTCACTCATGAGATCTGCCTGCCTCTGCTTCCTTGGTGCTGGGATTAAAGGAATATGCCAGTATGTCTGGCATGTCTGTGTGTTTTCCTGTGTGTGTGTGTGTGTGTGTGTG